GCAAACTATTGAGTGATGAATAATATATTTACATCTTACATAAATAAAGTATATCTAAATGAATAATCAAAAATAATGATTATTGAAAGAGGAAGTGAAGTACTGAATTAGGAGCAAGCAGATTTAGAATCTAAGCCACTCTCAGCTGCAGAAGCTCATTGGGCAACTCTGGGCCAGTCCTTCCTTTTCAGCTCACCCTACCTCACAGGATTATTACTGCAGGAAAAAACAGCAGGTGATGACTCTAATACAGTATGCTGTTTAAACTCCTTATAAAAGGCAGGATACAAATCAAATAAATAATCTAGAATGGAAAGGTATGTTGGCTTATTGGTCAAATTCTTTACCTTTGTTTCTCTATTTTTTGTTTCACAAGAATCTCCTTCTCTCATCCACATACCGACAAAAGTGTTGTTTTCAATTTCCCATTCATGCCATATTCTAGGAAATAAAAATAATATACTTCAGATATTTCAAAGAAGGCCACTGGCAGTTGCAATTTGATTTCAAGCTCGATTAAGGAACAGTCTGCTTAGGTCACCCTGATATCAGGGGATGAATCAGGATTAAGACCTTGTTTATTCTTCTGGATCTCTTGGCAGCTTTTGATATTAAAACAATATTATTTTAGCAGTATTAAGGTTTACTTCCACTCAGAGATTTATTTTAGAAAGAAATACTACTAAGAGCTAGTCTTTGTATCTGCAAAATTAAAGAGTCTTGCAGTGTTTTATCTTATATCTGTACAAGAAACTGTAGCGTTAATCAGAAGCAAAGTGCACCAATATGCAGTTGACATTTAATGCTACTCAGTTTCATTTATATGAAGTCATACTGTAGAAATATTGAATTTAGGGATATAAATTGTAATGGGCCATACTGACCTGCAATTTAGATTTGCTTGATTAACCTCCCCTTAGTTCAAGTACAACACATCTTCTCATTGTTATCAAAATTAGCAATACACTTCACTGTGCAAAGTCCTTAAAATGAATACTATGTTTCCCTGAAAATAAGACCTACCCCAAAAATAAGCCCGGGGGGGGGGGGTGAGCGTGCAGGGGCTGACAGTGTCCAGCAGCAGCCACAGCCCGCCGGCCACTTGGTGCAGCCTAGGTAAGTCCAAGCACAGAGGCAGAAGTGGGGGAGGAAGGCAGGCAATCTGGGCATGACATGCACTCTTTTCCCAAAGGGAGACTGGAAATTTCATCTGCTTGTGAATGGGTCGCTTATAAACCAAGCAATTTGCTCCGTCTCCAAGCTCTCCATGTGCAAGCAGATGAAGCTTCCACTCTCTGTCATTTCTCCATCCAGGTGAAAAGTGCTTGGGTGCCTATGGGGCACATGGGGCAGCTCCCCCACCTACCTCACCTCGTGGTGGCAGTACGGGCCACACAGCCTCCTGCCACAAGCGGCTGTAGAAGTGCACTGGTGGCCATGCGGGCTCCTACTGGACTGGGCTGTTGGTGCCAACGCGTGGCAGGTGTCAGGGAAAAAATAAGACATCCCCTGAAAATAAGACCAACTGCCTCTTTTGGAGGCAAAAAAATATACCGGGTCTTATTTTCGGGGAACCATGGTAGTTCTGAAGAGAGAAAAGAAGGGAGGCCAAAACTGCTCCTGCAAGTCAGACTTTCTGCCCAACCCTTCACGATGGCCCCAAAATATCCTATAATTGTTGTCTATACAGTATACAGTATTTCATTGTTTCCAAATCCCCATGAAGAATTCTTATTCTGAGACATTATATAAATAATTGCAATACAGTAAATACACTATCAAACCATAGGTAAATGTGCTGTATTTACTTGAAAGGATTAGTTCCCCCCCCACTTTTCAAATACTATCTTTAAATTAGGGATTTCCAAAAATTATATGATTCTAGTGACCAGTATCCATTTTTCAGCTATTAATCTCACTAGTGCTGAAATACGTTGACAGTCAGTCAGCTAATAGAATCCTGGGCTGGAAGAGACCTTGGAAGCCTTCTAATTCAACTCCCTGCCTTGTCCTTCTTTCATCCTGGACAAATGATTGTCCAATCTTTTTTTGAAAGATTGGAAAAAAATATTTTTCTTGAAAACCACCACAATTCCAGAGGCAAGTTGTTACTCTAACTGTTCTCACTGTCAGGAAGTTTATCCTTAGTTCCAGATTGGTTCAGTCTCTGACGAGCTTCCATCCATCGCTTCTTATCCTACCTTCAGGTGCTTTGGAGAATAGGTTGACCTCCTCTTCCCTGTGATGACCCTTCAAGTATTGGAAGACAGCTATCATGTCACCCCTACGCCTCTTAGACTAAACATACCATTAGCCATTGATTGCATGATTTAACCTCCAGACCCCTCATCATTTTTGTTACTCTTCTATGGCTTCAGCATCTTTTTGACAGTTGTTTTCCAAATACATTCTTTCCAGTTCCTATGAGAAGCCCAGAAGTCCTTCCTGTAGATAATATAAACCATGGTCTAGAAATCTAAAGTTCTCTTGACAGCACATCCCTTGAGCCAGTTTACTTCTAGAATCCTCCATTCTCTCATTGGCTGTTGACTTCTCTCAGAAGTAAAGATGAAAACACCATCTGTGCTCCTATCTCTTTGGCTTTCATGCCTAGCTCCTTATAATCCCTTGATATTGTTTTCAGGTTCTTTGTTGTATCAATTGCCCCAACATGAAAGAGGAGATAATTGGTGGGCTTGATTAATTTTAATCCGGTACTGTTTTAAAACAGTCTTCAGCCCTGGCACCACTTTCTCAACTCCTCTTTGACTTTTTCCAAACTCTTGCCATTTGTAGCTGCAACCACATTTGCAAAAACAAGTCTGTCTTGCAGCCACAATTCCCACCCTCACTTCCACCTGAGTGTTTTGGTAGTTGGGTACATTACACAATCCCATAAATTGCATCTCTAAAAATGATTGATTTTATAAAACAGAACAGAGTTGGAAGGGACCTTGGAGGTCTTCTAGTCCAACCCTCTTTCTGTTCAAGCAGGAAAGCCTATATCGTTTCAGACAAATGGTTGTCCAATCTCTTCTTAATTTTTTTTTTTAATATTGGAGCAACTTCTGGAGGCAATCTGTTCCACTGATTTTATCTATGGAGATTATCAGTCATCCTGGTCATAGTTATCCCAAAGATGCTTTTTCACGAGGCAACTGGATTTTGCTTTTCTTTGAAGACATTTCGCTTCTCATCCAAGAAGCTTCTTCAGCTCTGACTAGATGGTGGGGAATGGAAGGATTTATACTCCTTGCAGACAGCTGGTCGTTTGCATTCCTTTAGAGCAGGGTTGTCAAACTGCCGGCTCATGGGCCGGATGCGTCATGCAGAAGCAGCACCCACCCCATTGCCGACAATGGCAAAACTCTCCCGATACATTGCGCAATGTCACGTGACATCATGAGTTTGACATATCTGCTTTAGAGAGTAACTGAGGCCACTTGGAGGTTTACTTGTGTCCTCAGGGTCACCTAAGTAGTGCAAATGGGTGTGGAGCCTTCTTGGGACTGCTGAAAGGACTGTGTTATAGACTGGAGATAGATGATGCCATATTCCTCCTCCTCCTCTATTGAGAGAAGGTGGTTTAATTTTGACATAGATGGCCTCTTTGACCCCTTTCAAACCAGCAGTCCTCTCTGTCCAAAATGTGGACTCCTTGATTAGTTTCCATCCATTGCTCCTTATCCTGCCTTCAGGTGCTTTGGAGAATAGGTTGAAACCCCCTCCCTTCCAAAAATGACAGACCTTTACTCTGAAGTGATACAACTTAATTCAGATATGCTTTAATTATATCAAATGGGCTCTGGATGCCTAAATGAGCAGTGAGTACATATTTGGTAATTTACAAGATAACACATCAACCGGTAGCTTTAATTTCTCGTTAGGTACCTGTACCTATATTAATTCTTAAGCAAAAAAAGATAATTGTTAGCTATTGAGCAATCTCGTACATTCTTAAAACTATCACCACCTCTCAGCTTCATTATAACACTAAGTATTCTTTTACAGGTAACAAACACACATGAAACTGTAGAACATGCTCAGAAAACGTAGAAATTAAGGTGTTATTCAGCATCATTTCCATACATATATCTATCTTGTCAGCGTATCATATCATCATGAAAGTGGGAATTTTTAATCTTGGAGCGCCACCTTAAAGGGACACCAGCAAAGAGAAAGGCCATTCTCTTACCCGAGAATTCCGTTGTAGGCATTCCATCGGAAAGTTTGCTCGTGTTGGGTGACATTATAAAATGGACAGAACTCGTATTTATACCTAAAATTTCAAAACAAGTCAGAGATTTATTTCCTGTTTTTTATTTCCAGCGATTTTTAAAATGCGTGTCTAATTAAACGACTTACGTAGATTCCACGTAACCAAAGCATTTGCCCGCCAGCTTAAAAAGATGTTCAGGCCCTGGAAAAGGAAGGGTTGCAAAACCGGTCAGGGACTTGGCAAAACGCCGGGCTCTTCCTCTGAAATGACACTTCGCGGCTGGGAGAGCCTGCAGTCCCGGCCGCTCGCGCTGCCCGGCTCACCTGAGATGGGAGAGGGGGCCGCTTTGGGCTGAAGCCGGTTGGAGGGAGGCAGGAAGGGGTTGTTCAGCCTTCTCGGAGAAGGAGGGGAGACAGAAAGAGAGGCCTTCAGAGCCAGGACCAAGCGCCGCCGCCGCCGCCCTGCCCGAGCCCGCCAGGCCGAGAGCGGCTCTGCCCCCCGCCGCCGCCGCCTCACCCGAAGCTGTTGGGCTCCTCCACCACCTTCATCTTTCCGGCAGCCGCGACTCCTGGAGGGCGAGAGAGAGAGAGAGAGAGAGAGAGAGAGATGGGCAGCCATGGCGGAGGCCCCGGGAGGCGCTGGGGGGAGGACGCGCATCGCCTCACCTCCCGACAGCAGAAGCAGCAGCGGGAGCCACTGCCGTCGCCCCTTCCCCACAGGGGCCCGAGCCGCCATCTTCCCGCCTCCGGAAGCAGCGCCGCGCTCTCTTCCGGAGCCGCTCCCTGCGACTGGCAGCGGTGGGCGGGGCCCGTTGGCTCGACCCGGAAGCGGAAGAGTCGGAGAGTCCTCCGAGATGGGCCCCGGGCGGCGGCGGCGGCGGCCGAGGGGGCCGGGCGGGGGGCGAAGCCTGGAGACCTTCGCAGAGGCGCTGGGCGGTGAGGGCGCGGCGGGGGGCAAGCGGTGGCGGTGGGGCGGGCTTCTTCCGCCCGCTGACGCGCCTCCTTTTCCCCGCAGGGCCCTTGCAGGAGCAGCCGCAGGAGGAGGGCGAGGCGAGGGCGGCGGCGGCCGAGAGCCCGCGCCGCTGGTGCCCGCTGGCCATGTGGGACCTGGGCCAATGCGACCGGCGGCGCTGCACCGGGCGGCGGCTGGCGCGGAAGGGGCTGGTGCGGAGGCTGCGGCTGGGGCAGCGCTTCGGGGGCCTCGTGCTCAGCCCCGCCGCCGCCCGCTTCCTCTCGCCCGCTGACAGGTGGGAAGGGGGCCCGGCGCGGCGCCAGCCTTCAGCCTCCGCTGCAGGGAGGAGCGGCTTTTCATCCGATTCGTTTGCCTGCGTCGGAAACGGCCGCTGGGCCGTCTCGCTCTTGCTCCCTCCCGGCCCTGCAGGCAGCCGAGCCTCCGCGTTGAGGTCCCGAAAGGGGTTTTTTCACGAGGCATCTGGACTTCCTCCTTTTTCCTTGAAGACGAAAGCCAAGGAAGTCCATTTGCCCCGTGAAAAAAGCCCCTTTGGGACAACCGCGCCCTGGATGGCGGAGCATCTCCATGGACTCTGGTTTGAAGAGCCGCAGGCAGCTATTCCGGGATCCAGAGTGTTGTAGGGGGGTCCCAACACTTGGTTGTTTATCTAACTTAGTCTAATGGAAGGAAAACAACTTATGGCAGAGAAAGAAATAGTGGTCCATTGACTCTGCCTTTTTGAAGTTTTTTTGATTTTTTAAAAATTTTGTCGGATGATGGACATGTGTTTATTCCAAGCATAGTTAAACTCAGTTATTGATGATTGATGCTCTGCATCTGCTGGAAGTTGGTCCCAAGTTTCTACTACTCTTTCTGTGAAGCAATGCTCCCTAATATTACTTTTGAATCCCCCCCCCCGTCAGTTTGAGGTTATGCCTCCATGTTCTTGATTTTTGCTTTATATTGAAAATACTGGATCCTTCTAGAACGTTATTCACCCCTTTCATATATTTCCAGGTATCAATCCTGTCCCTTCTGTGCTCCAGACTGTACATATTCAGTTCCTCCAATCTCTCCTGATGCATCTTGTCCCTCGGAGCTTGCACTGCTTTTGTTGCCCATCTGCTTTTTCCTGCTGATGATCCTTCTAGTGATGCATCCCAGAATTTTGTTTGCCTTCACAGATGCATGGCTACACCCATTACCCTTTTTTCCCTCATGTCTATGAGCACACCTAAATCTTTTTCTTCTGCTTTGTTTAACCCTGTTCCCCCAGTATTATACCCTGGCAGAGGATTCTTTTCCCCTAAGGGCATGATCTGACATTTAGAAGCATTCAGCTGCAGTTTCCACATTTTTTGACCATTTTTCCAGCAATGCCAAATTGTTTTCCATGTTACACATATTTCCAGAAATGTCAACTTTATTAAACACCTTTGTGTTATCAGCAAATGTTACCTAGCAGTGGTTCTATTATATCACTTACAAACACACTGAACAAAACGGAACCTAGGACTGAGCCTTGTGGTATACCACTTGTGACTGGTCTCTGTTCAGACAGTGCCCCAATAACCATCACATGCTAGGATCTATCCCTGAGCTAACTTCCTGTCTATTGAAACCCCTCAATGGTTACGTTCTGGGCTGTACAACTTATTTATGACCTCATTATATGGAACTGTATCAGATGCTTTGCTAAAATCCAGATAAGCTATATCCACAGCACCTTTATCCAAAACATTTATGATATAGTTAAAAAAATCAGATTAGTTTGACATGATCTGCTCTCAGATCATGCTGTGCGCTTTTAAATATTCATCCTTTTTTTTCAGGAGTGATTCCATTAACTTCATTACTATAGATGTTAAGCTTACTGGCCTATAGTTTCCAGCTTTTCGCTAGCCCACAGCCACATGCAGCTCTTTGAGCCTTCCCCTATGGCTCCCAGCCTCCTCTGCCATTTGCAGAGAGAGACAGAGACAGGCACTTGCTCTGTCTCTGTCTGTCTCTCTCTCTCTCTCTCTCTGTGTGTGTGTGTGTGTGTGTGTGTGTGTGTGTGTAAAAAAGAGTGGACTCACGGTATTCTCTGACGAACTGAAAAGCTTATTTGGGTGGAGCTCCAATCTTTGCTGCGTCAGCAGGAGAGAGCTAGCTAGTCCAGCTATGCTGACTTAGGAATTCTGGGAGTTGAAGTCCATGAGTCATAAAAGAGCTGAGGTTGCCTACCCCTGAGCTTGTTGGAGAACAGCTTGAAGCCAGCTTGCCATATGAGCAGAAGATCAGAGAAAGGGAGAGAGGGGGGGGGGAAAGAAAGAGAGGGAGAGGAGAGAAAGAGGGAGAGGGAGAGGAAAGAGGGAAAGGAAAGAGAGAAAGAGAAAAAGAAAGAAGGAGGGAGGGAAAGAGAGATCCTTTTAACATCTAAAATGAAGATAACACTGCATATATCCTTTTTTACCTTTATTATAGGTGTGTGTATATATGTATGTGTGTGTGTATATATATATATGTGTGTGTGTGTGTGTATATGTATGTATGTATGTATATATAGGTCTTTGGTTATTCAGGTTTTCTCCCGCGTCAAATTGGAAGTGTTTTGGCGACGTTTCGACAAAGTCTCATTTGTCACCAAGACACTTCCAATTTGACGCGGGAGAAAACCCGAATAACCACAGACCTACATACAAACACCCGCGAAAACCTCAGAAAACAAATACACACACACACAATAAAGGTAAAAAAGGATATATGCAGTGTTATCTTCATTTTAGATATCAAAAGGGTTTTGCGGCTCCCAGTGTTTTGTTTTCGATGGGAAATGGGTCCAAGTGGCTCTTTCAGTGTTTTGGGTTGCCTACCCCTGCCCTAGCCCCTTCTTGTGCATGGGTAGAATATTACTGTTCACCGTTCTTGGTGGGCTTCAGCTGTTAGAAGAGACTGGTTAAACAGACGGGTTAATGGTCCCAACACCTGGAAGTTCCCTCAGAAGTCTGGGATGAATCCCTTCTGGACCCCTTGGCTTTATCAAGCTTTAAGGGGGTGGGCTCCCTTGCCACCTCTGCCTCTAAAAACTCTGGAAAAGAACCTGAACTGCTAGGAATGGTATGAGCCTCCAATCTGTTTTTTGTGACTGCTGCATCTATTGCCATCTTACTGCTACATATTCCTGAAAACTTTCTGAATTGCTTTTGTAGGTACAGAATCCAAACATTTGTGTTACTGATTTAAAAATACTTGAATTTTTGTAGTGCTGCTTTCACGGAGTAACCACTATAGTGGTAGCTTTTCAACCCTTTCCCCCTTTTGTAGCCTGCAAAATTAATCTGATTTCCTGACAAGGCAGCAAACAGAAATGTCCCATATTAAAAGTGCAGGTATATTTTCAGGGAAGTTGTGACCCAGAACGGAATTGCAGTGATTGACTGCTCTTGGGCAAAGCTGGACAAAACACCATTCAGCAAGATGAAGGGAAGTCATCTCCGGCTGCTACCCTACTTGATAGCTGCAAATCCAGTGAATTATGGACGGCCATGCAAACTTACTTGTGTGGAAGCTTTTGCTGCTACCCTCTGCATTGTAGGTGAGCTGCAATAAAAATATTGTTTGGATTCCTTATCTTAGAAAAATATTTATATATAAAAATATATACATACATTGCCTGTAGTTGTTTGTCATGTTAGGGTGAAAAAAGTTGCTCTGCTGAACATTTTTTTTTTATTTATTGCATTGACTTATTACTGATCCGGTCCAAGATTCTGGGTAGTTTACAGATATAAAGTAGAAAGAAATATAATAAAATGCCATGATATATAGACTACCAAAGCACAATTCTTTATCCATGCATAAGATAAAATCTCAAATTCAAAAGCTTCATATATAAGATTCTTTTGGTAGCCTTGACTGAAAAGTATATTTCACCAATAAGATATGGAAATTACCTTTGAAATGTTTGATTGTTGCTGAAGTTATTTTCCTTATTTTAGGACACTCTGATCTAGCCACAATGCTTTTGCAAAAATTTAAATGGGGAAAAGTGTTTCTTGATCTGAACAAAGATCTCCTGGAGAAATATGCAGCATGTAGCTGTGAAGAGGAGGTGTTAAGGGTTGAGAATGAATTTCTGAACCATGCCCAAGAAAAAGATGAAACAGGTAGGACATCCCAAGTTTTTTTGCTGCTTTGAGAAAAAAAGAATTGAATTGGCAAATTAGTGACACTATTACCCAAATTTCAAAGTATTTGGATCAAGATAAAGGGAGGAAAAAAAATCACTTAATCATACACACGGGATAAATGGTCCACATTATTTGGACATAATTTGTGCCTCGAATAAAAACTTTGTATTGATATATTCAATGATTTATTATTTTATTTTATTTTAATTATTTATTCTGGTTAACATTCCCAGAAATTTTGATGTAATGAGAAAAAGTGAGGAATCTTTTATCCATAATCCATAAGAGGCAGTCATAATGATGAACAAACGATGGGGATTCCTCAGTGGTATCAAGCAGCCATTATAAAGGTCATTAATGCTGTATAACTACTTCCAAATACATGAAGGAGCCCTCCCCCCAAACCCCTTAAATGCCCTCACAAAATTTGATAAAATTATCCTACTAAAGGGATAGGGTTGACATTAAAGATCTAAGATAGGTTAAACTTACAATCACAGGATTACATAATTATATTGTTATATTTATCTCCCTAATGAAACCACTGATTACTGCAAAATATCATAAAAGTATACATTTCCAAACTTAATACTTGGAATAATACTTTACCAATTTCTCAATTTAATTCTTGTAGCCCCCCGTTACCCCTCCCCCCCATGCCAATACAGTTGTAATTCCTCGTAGATCTCTGGAGCATCTTTGGAGAAGTGTCCTGGGCCCTTCAGGGAAGGAAAAGTCATTTACTTGGCAGTGGATTCCACTGGTCGGCAACCCATATGGTCAGGAAGTCCATTATCAGTATTCCTGAAAATTCCAGAAATTTCCCAATAACCCATTAAAAGTTTTTCCAAACAATCCTTGGGAACGTAAGACTGTAAACACAATCCCTCAGTATCTGCAAGTATGGCCAGAACAGAATTATACACCAAAACTGAATTGAGCTGATTATATTCAAATGAGTTGTTTCTGATCCCTAGCATCTTCCTAGATTTTGTCCATGATGGTTTATCCCTAACCTGTTCTTTCAAGTCTCCCAATGGCACATTTATCACCACTGTATTTGAGTCCATCTCTCTTGCTGCTCTTTTCTTCCATCTGGAAACAGCATTAGAGACTTTTTTAATGTGTCCAAAATAGGATAATTTGAAACTGGTCATTTGTGCCTCGAGTAAGAACTCTGTGTTGATATAATCAGTGATTTATTTTGCTATCCACAGTATTCTCAGGAGTTTTCTCCAACACCAAAGTTCAAAGGCTCCCATGTTTTTCCCATCCTGTTTCTTTAAAGTCCATCTTGGTCTATCCCACTCGCTCCAGCAGATGATACCTACTACATCCCATCTGCCAAACAATTTCAGCTGTCAGGATGCAGGAGAAGAGCCTATTTCTGCTCTGGCCCCCACCCTTTGGAATATTCTCTCCCCTGATGTGACATTGCCCCCCCCCCTTTCCGAAGAGCCTTAAAATCTGGCTCTGCTGCCTGGTCTGTTGCTAGCCCTATCACAGCAGGTCTCCTGTCAGCTCCTGCAGCCTTCCGACTGGAGCACTAATGCAGCTTCATGTTCTAGTCCTAGAGGTTCTTGTAAAAGTACAGAAGATCTTCTAAACACTCTTGGATGTTGACATCTTTACTGCACAGGATTCCATTATACTCTTCCATCTTTGATCTTTTTGGAGTAAGTTACTCCCTGTCCATTGTCATCTTTTAGCACACCAGTCTGCGGTTGGAGCCTCCTGCTGAGATCTTTTGAAAGATTTTCCTTGTTTTCCATGTCCGTCTCCATCTTCAGTGTCTTTATAAATGTTGTGTCTTGTGTCTTCTAACAGCTCCCTGAAACCCCTGAGTCCCTTTCTGAGATTTTTGTTGTCTTTCCTGCCTTTGGCTTCTGTTCCCTTTTTGGCAATTTCCAGAGTTTGTTTTAACATCCAGTTTGCTTTCTTCTTTTTCTTCATTTTTGGCAGTCTGTTTTCACATTCATCCTTAACAAGTTATCTAAGTTCATTCCCTAATTTTTTCTGCTTCTCTATCAAAGAAGCTCAGGTTTTCAAAGCAATTCCTGATGTTTTCAAGATTATATTGGGGAAACTGACTGGATTTCTTCTCCTTTAACTTAACTTGGAGCTTGCACATGAGCAATTTGTCATCTGTGACTATGTGATCTGTTTCAAGCTTTGATATTGTAATTGATCTCCTCCACCTCTTTTAGCAATAATACAATCAATTTGATTTCTATAGCAATAGCACTGATATACCACACTCCACAGTGCTTCACAGTCTGGGCGGCTTACAGTGCTGCCCCCAACAAGTTGGCTCAAGGTTGGGAGGGACCAAGCTCAGAATGGCTTGGATTGGGGTGGGTACTCTCTTAATGGCCTGCAATTCTCAGTTAATAATTACAGAGGGGGGAAGGGAGACGGGATTGCGGTTGCTAAGCAATGCAGTCCCATGATGTCTTGCTTTACAACCTCATCACTTAGAGACATTCAACTTTCAGTTGTGGATGAAAGTTGAGGACCATCTACTGTGGAGTAAACGGGGTTGCTTTGCAAGAGAACGAATGCTGGGTTGCAGCGTGCAGGGTGGTCAAAAGTGCATAGGGAGAAAGGTGGGGGGGTGGAGTTGCAGAAGCCCTGAGGTCATAAGTGCCAACAGGTTGCCAAAAACCCTCTAATTTTGAGGGTGTTGCAGTGGCTTCAGACACAGGTCAGAAGCCCATTTATTCAACACTGTCACAATTTTGCAAGTTGAGGCCTGTCTGCATGTTTTTCGTGCCCAATGTCTAATACCCAATGTCAGTTTGTCTGTTTGATTCATATTTGATTTCATATTTCATTGTGTTGAGTTTTCCTGCATTCATGCTGTTTGCTTCCGGCCCTCCACTTTAGTTCTGTCCTTGCAACTTTACTTTTTCTTTTCCCGACATCCTGAAGGCTGTAATGCAGCCATTTCATAAAGACCAGTCATTCTCCAAAAGATCTTCCGCTCCTTCTTTTTGTCAGTAGCATGTTGAGTGCCATCTGACCTGAGGGACCCATCATCCAGCCCTGTGTGGTCAATCATGTTATATTTTTTTATCCAAGTAGCTTTCCTGGTAAAAATGCCCGAGTGGTTTCCCGCTGCCTTCTCCCACGGATGCCTTTGCCATCTCCATCCAAGGGATCCTCTGCCTCCAGCATCTTCCTCTACCGCTGCTGCCCAGTGCAGGTGTCCCTTTGCTTTCGCAGGCAGTTGGCATGACCTTTGGGTGACCCTGCTGGGAATATATATTCTTGGCATACACTTCCAATATTATTTGCTTATCCTTCCCTCCCAGGAGCAACCACCCCCCACCACAGTGATGCAGCGGGATGGGGAGAGGCACGTGAATTAGGGTCATTTGGGTTATTGTGTTCTGTGGGCCTATAATGTGACCCAATTCATAGTTCTATTATTTGCTCTTTAATCTTCAGACAAATTTATTTATCTCTCACATCAGTTCATTGAAATATATTACAATTAGGGCCAACATATTTTCTTTTTTTTTTTAGTTGTTACATAGTTGGGTTGGGTCATCAACTGCAGGTTTCCAGCCCTGCCTTAAAGGCCATATTGACACCCACCCCCTTCCTTAGCAAAACTAATGCAGAAAAATTCAGATTCGTTCCTGAAAATTACTTGGTAAATCCTCTCTCTGCCAGAGAAGCTGGTGGCTTATCATTTGTTTGGGTTTATGGATTTAATGTGGAATTTAAATTAATAATTGTTACCTTACTTTTCTGCTAGGCCAATGGGTGGGAACTTTCATTTAACAGCCTTTTATGTTTTTTACCCAGATCCTTTTGATGTTGATTCAGGAAAAGAATTTTTTATACTCAACGGGCCTTGCAGTACCACACAGTAAGTCTTCTAAAGGATTCCTTTAAGAGTCTGTAGAGATCATCATTGGGCTATAGAGTAACCCTGATCTCCATTTGTAGAGCAACTGAGGGAGATGAGAGCTCCTCTGAGGAGACCTCTGAGGACAGCGATGGCAGCGGCAGCAGCAGCAGTGATGAGGACCTGAACACCGCCTGTTCTGGAGCCAGTAAGTCAGCTGCAGGGAGGCAAAAGAGCATTCTTAAAGAGAAGAAGCATCGCTGAGTTTAATAACAGGGTTTGCTCTGAATTAGGATACAAATTTGGACAATGTTCTTCCAATCTGAAATACCTCATTCAGCCTATTGGTCTTGTCCATCAACTGAGCTGTTTGATGAACTTCATTAATACTCTGCTTGTCAAATAGTTTTTACTAATGCAACATCCACATCCTGGTCTTATTTTTTTTACTTAACATCTCAGTTAATTATTATTCCAAAAATTGTTTTGAGATGATGGGGGAAAAACCAGAAGCAATTTCCTCATATCTGACATCACTACTTTTTGGTTGTTTATATTTCAGTTCTTAATATGTTGTGGATGGATAGTTGATAATAAATGCTCTAAACCAAAAATTACAGTGGAAACAGGCTTCTCATTGTTTTGAAGAGCAAGTGAAAACAAGGCCAATTACTAGCACATGTTCATCATCATGTAGTTGGCTAGTCTCAGAAAATGTAAAAGGAAGCAAGCAGGATTGAGCAGAATTGATTTAATAAGAAGAAAGTCTATTAATTTTATCAGAATAACAGAGTTGGAAGGGACCTTGGAAGTCTTCTAGTCCAACCCACTTTTGAGGCAGAAGTCCCTATACCATTATAGACAAAAGATGGTCCAATCCCTTAAAAGCCTCCAGCGATGGAGCTTTCAGCTCCCAAGACTCCTTTGGTAAAGACAGCTGAATATTGACTGCAGAATTAAAGCACTTCCGTTTTACATGCCCGATGCTTTTATGAAGAAATCAATACCCCCCTCTGTAGATCATGCTAATGGGTTTTCTCTGGCAGCTCACAAAACAATGTTCACAGCATACAATAACATCGACCACAATATGCTTTTGAGTCAACTTCAGGGGATGAGAGTGGGAGATACTGTTTTGCAGTACCTTTCTCTGTGGTGGCTTTCAAGTGGCGTTGACGGGGGTTAGAATCAGAGGACTGGAAAAGAGCTGATGTGTTTTCCAATCTTCAAAAAGGGGAAAAAAACAATCTGGGAAATTACAGATCAACCATCTTGACATCAATACCTGGGAAAATCCTGGAAAAGATCATTAATCAGTAAATTTGTGAGGTGATTACTGGAAGCCAGTATGGGTTTGTTATAAATGGATCATGTCAAACAAAACTTATTGCCCATTTTGATAAAGTGACTAAATTAGTAAATCAAGAAAATTGTGTGGATACAATGTATTTAAGAGTTCAATAAGGAATTTGACAAAGTAGAACACAGCCCACTTCTTGATAAGATAGAACAATGTGGGATAGACATTGATTGATTCACCACCACCAGATTGATTCACAGTTGACTAACCAATCACATTCAGTGTGTAGTCATCAATGGAGAAAATCATCTTCAACATCTTCATAAATGATCTAAATGAAGGGCTAAAACGGGTAGGCAACCTTGGCTCTTTTATGACTCGTGGACTTCAATGAGCCGAGGTGGCGCAGCAGTTAGAGTGCAGTACTGCAGGCCACTTTAGCTGACTGTGTTCAGCAGGTCAGCGGTTCAAATCTCACCGGCTCAAGGTTGACTCAGCCTTCCATCCTTCCGGGGTAGGTAAAATGAGGACCCAGATTGTTGGGGGCAATGTAAAATATATATATATACATTGCTTACTGGTGTACACCGCTTAGAGAGTGCTTGCACTTAAAGCGGTATATAAGTCTCATAAATAAATAAATTCCTGAGCCAGCATGGCTCAGCTTGGAAACCTCTCCCTTTCCCCTCAGCGTGGCTGGCTCAGGAATTCTGGGAGTTGAAGTCCACGAGTCATAAAAGAGCCAAGGTTGCCTACCCCTGGCCTAGGCCTAGGCCGCTTTATGACTCGTGGACTTCAACTCCCAGAATTCCTGAGCCAGCATGGCTCACCTTGGAAACCTCTCCCTTTCCCCTCAGCGTGGCTGGCTCAGGAATTCTGGGAGTTGAAGTCCACGAGTCATAAAAGAGCCAAGGTTGCCTAACTCATCGAACTTGCAGATGACACCAAGCTGGGAGAATTGCTTTTGAAGATAGATGCAGGATTCAGAAGGCTCTTGACAGACTTGAGCACTGGAGTTCAGTGATGAAAAAAGTAGTGTCCTGCCCTAAAGAAGGAAGAACCAAATGCATAGATATAGAATAGGAGGCATCTGGCTCAACAGTAGTAATTGTGAGAGAGATTGAAGTGTCCTGGTGGATCACTGCTTAAGTATGAATCACTAGCACACTGCCACTGCTAGAAAAGCCAATGCAGTTTTAGGCTGCATCAGCAAAGAGACGATCACGGATGTGATAGTTCTGCTTTATACTTCACTTAGAATCTGGTTCTGATGACCACAATTCAAAAAAAGATGCTGAGGCCCTGGAAATAGCGCAGAGAAGAGCAACAAAGATAAGAGGCCTCAAAGCTAAATCTTACAATGAACAGCTAAGGGAACGAGGTACGTTTAGCCCAGTGAAGCGAAGGCTTAGGGGAGACATGATAGCAGTCTTATAATAATTGAAGGCCATCACGGGACAGAGGACATCGAATTCTTCTCCACAGCACCTGAGGGCACGACAAGAAGCGGTGGCTGACAAGAGTGAGATTCAACCTGGAAATGAGGAATTTCCTGACAGTAAGAACAGTTAATCAGTGAAGCAGCTTGCCTCCTGGAGTTGTAGGTGCTCCATTGCTGGAGGTTTTCAAGAAAAGATTGGACAATCATTCGTCTGGGGTGGTACAGGGACTCCTGCCTTGGGCAAAGGGTTGACCTAGAAGACCACCAAAATTCCTTCCAGCCCTGTGAGTCATATCCACAGCCACCTATTTATGGAGCACTGGAGGGGCATTGCAGGGTTTATTTCTCTCCCCTTCAGATGGAACTCAGTTATACATCTGAAGTGACTCTGTCAAAGGGCTGACCCAGTGTCTGAAGGCTGTATGGGTCTGGATGTGGAGAACTGATTAGGGCTCAAGAGCAGGTGGTTACAGTGGCCAAAAGGACCTGTGGCCAGATACATCTGGTATACCAATTGTGCCTGTTCCTGGGTCATAAGCCCTTTTGAAAATGACTTGTGCCTTGGTCATCTTGTGATTGGATTGCTAGTGTTCTCTACATAGGACCACTCTTGAAGACCTCTTGGAAGCCACAGCTAGTCCAGAATACAGCAATGTAGGCAGTCATGGGCGGATCACAGTATATGCGCATGTCCTCTGCTGCTTCACGAGCTGCACTGCTTACTGTTGGGTTTCCGTTGCCATTCGAGGCACTAGCAAAAGCCCTTCATGACTTAGGGCCCAGCTACCTGAGGGAACTGTCGAACGAGGTCAGAGTAGACAGGCTCCAGGTCCCATTCCTTTAGCAGTGTCACCTTACAGGACCCAGGAAGCATGACGATGGCTCCTGCTCTCTGGAATCAGACATACCTGGAAATCCATATTGTTCCCAGGCTACTGATTTTTCACAAGTTGCTGAAAACTGGTTCCTTTCCAGGGTTTGGAATTCAACATATTTCAATCATCCGTCTCTTCTTTGATAAAGATTTTAATTTTACTTCATTGTGAACCACCCAGAGTTGCATGGCCTTAAAACTAGAATATTAAATAGCAACTAAAATGCTGTATTGTAAGATGTTAATCTTATAATAAACTTCCTTTACTTGACTCCAGTGTGATACTCTGAGGGATCTTTCTGCTCTCTGGCACCTAATTTGGCTGAAGATACAGAGAGAGCCTTCTTCAGTGCAGACTAATGAGGCCAAAACTTTAGCTGTTGCCATATTCTGGACAAATGGTAAATCCATACCAATTTTTAAAAAAACAACTCCACTTACAGTTCATTGCAGCAAAGTTGTTCTCAAAGTAATTTTAACTAACTTGTTCTATTAAAGCAATTGTCTCAGGTGACTAAGTGTGTCATAAGAACACTGTCTTTTAAATCCAGAAAGCAAAATATTGTATATGCTTTGGGTCTCATCAATTAAGCAGTGTCATTTTGAAGTGTGGAATGAGAACCCCCAAGGGATTTGTACTACAACCCTGTTGACTTTCTGCAAACACAGCATGAACCACATGGGTTGTTTTTTCTGTTTGACTTTTTGAGATTTGTCTCTGGTCAGTTACTTGATATACTGTTTATTCTTTTAATTATCTGTAAGCCACCCGGAGTCACTATGGAGTTGGACAGCCTCAAAATTAAATACTATGAATGGATCAGGTCTCCTGATGATCACCCACAATAGCTTCATGTGAATCAGAACTGCAAGGCACGAATCAGCTGGAGATTGAATAGAAATTCTCACAGCATCATTATTGACAACCCACCTTCCAAGTAGCAACAGACCTAACAATACTTTGGTTCCCTATGAAATCTTTCAGAATGCTCTGGGCTGTCATTGGCAGTTTGCACTTGGACATGAACAACCTTTTTTCTAATTTTAGAACAAAGTAGGCCATAAGAATAAGTGGGAACTGACTGTTCCTTACCAATCCTATAAAAAATATTGGCTTTTAAAAAAGCCAGTAGTAACGGGTTTTTTTCTGCCTGCAAAGAGCTATTGGAGCTAAGAATGATCACACTAATAAATTAATGATAGCATAAAATGTTATTCCTGCGCTTTGGAATAGGACAAATAGCTGGAGCCCATGTGGTTATGGGACTGAATTTCTTACAGGTTTTGGTTTTTTTTTTATCTCAGCTGGCCTGTTTTTTCCTAAACTTGCTTTGAAATGTATTTTCTGTTTGTGTATGTTAGTTGCCTGGAGATGCTATTTAATTGAACAGGAATTCATGAACAAATGCAGGATTAGGAAAAATGCTCCTCTTTGACTATTGTGTTTAGACTTTTCCTTTTGTGCCTGAAAAACAACACAGAAAAGGTGTAAAGACAGCAGCAATAAATCTAATTTGTAGTTTGGCAGCTATTGCCTTCATGATGCAATAATTCAATATGGGTTTAGATTTTCTGAATTTATCAAGAAAACCTGAATTTTCTGCTTGGACCTATCCACTTTTTTCCACATTTTTGCCTTAGCTATTAAAAGCCAATTGAAGAATGACCAGGATATCCAAACTACGCACAGATAAAAAGCCCGTGTCCTGAACATGGGTTGAAACCAGAACACTGGATGCTTCTTTCCAAATCCAGAATGATTGTTTTCAAAACCTGAATGTTTTTGCCATCCCCATCAGCAAAACAGGTCTGACTGAAATGTCCTTCTATCTATGGTTGCCCATATTAGTCTTGCCTGGGAAGATTACGTCAGTGGCAAATGTTGTCTAGGTTCAGACTAGATTTCTGCTCTTTTAAAGAAGGTGGAGGTGTGCCAAGCATACCTTCGTCCTGATCCAGTGTTGCTCTGGTTTGCTGGAAGGGATTCTTGGTAAAGGGTTTAGGAGGGGTCAACCACATCAACTCTCCCAGTGCTTCACGTTCAGATAATTCATCTTGGAAAATCCCCCAACCAGCCCTGGAGGAGAACTGGCATATTCTGGAGTTCTCTGGAAAGTTCCTGTCATGGAATAAGTCTTGCAGATCCCTGAAAGCTTTTTGCTTTTTTCAGTGAACAGATATTAACCTATATTTTAACAGGCATTATGTATAGTTTAAAACGAGTTAGATTACATAGCAAGTTCCAGGCCTAACCATAAAACTTTTTTTGTAAACTCACAAAAGTGTGTCAGAGAATGAAGTAAACTCAATACAAAATTTATGAGTGCTGCATTTCTCATTTTTTTCAAACATTTCTGCTCTTTCCAAGAGTTAAGGGAAAGGATTATCACTGACTTTTTAATGCAACCATATACAATTTAACTGCATTTTTACAGATGTATGAAAAACAGTTTTATACTTGAAATACTTAAAACTCCTGGATTTCTTAGTATGGTTTGCTGACAGCTACAGCAGACAACACATCTGAGCATCAGCAAGTGACTCCCTTCACCCAGTGTTTAATTGAAACTACTGCAGATCAAGTTGTGCTACCTGCAGTGTAGAGTAGCTGTTTCTCCAGAAGTGGTGTAATATTGAAGGAATGGGGAAGAAAGCGAGACAAAAAACTTTATAGAAACAGTTTATTTACTCTAAACAGCAACACAGACAAAACTCCATAAACACAAAGGAGGTGACGCAGAATCAAGATGCGGCTGACTTTGGATCCAAGGCATTTATGCAACAATCTAATTCATTGATAGAAAACAAAAGGGAATGGAGGACATGTTTTTTCTTACCAGCCAAGTAGAGGCAAAAAAACAAAACAAAACACCCCCCCCCCAAACATTTTAAAGCGTGCCTGCATCTGAGAGCAAAGAAACTAGAGATACTAGTGAATTTATAGAAGTATAAAAGTTTATAGTTTACAGCAGTTGAAATACTGACATCAATATTAAAATAAAAGCAAGTTTTACATAACAATCAAAAATACAAAAGACTGAAGGAAGAGACCCTGTATGAAAAACTGGGGACAATTCAGCAAGTTTAGAACTGTATACAAGTGGTGAATATGGAAAATGGCACACATATAATCCCTTCCCCTAAATGACTATTAATTGTACATAGCGACATTAGATTTGCAAAAGTTTTGTAAACAAGTTCTTGCCAATTAATCCCTTCCTTTAAAGATGTGGATGACAGGAGCTTATGATGGTGCAAACTTCTTGGCTTGTGCTCGAACCCTCTTTTCATATTCCACTCTGTTTTGGCTAAATGTAGAGAGAGAAAAAAGCTAACAATTCTCAAAAATCAGAATCCATAAAGTGTTCTAGATCAGATTCTCCCTAGCACAAAACCCCACAAAAATCAAACTCTTGATATCTTATGTGAATATGCACTGTTTCCCTGGAGATGGAAATTAGACAGGAGTTACATGCTAGGACTCAGGTAAAAGCACTTTAGAACACGCCTCCCATGAATTTTGGTATGCATGAATTAATAGGAATAGCATTGCTTTCAGATGCAAAATCAATTATCAGATTGTATGCAATTATTTCTAATAATGAAGTAATTCAAGAATGGGAAAGGGATGATAAACACGGGGGCTCTACAGGGAAGTCTCCAAAAACCAAACCAAAACCCCCTTCACTTTGAACCAATGACCCTGAGGCCTTGGAGATCTTAATGACGTTTTCTCATGTTCCAAAGGCTTTGAGCAGGAGCCCTGCAGCAAGCTCTTTATTCGTGTGGTAGAAAATGGATCTCATTTTTTTCTAATTGCGAACGCCTAACAGTTTATTAGCATGCAGCTTTTCCATCGAAAAATATACTTAGAGTAACTCGTAACTTCAGAAAATAAAACAAATGCTTCAAAATCAACTATTTCAAAATAAAAATATGTTTTGTTTTCAAATAAATGTACTGTGTTTCAGAAACTCTGCTGAACTATTCTGGATAGACTGCAGTTCAGCTGAACCTGTTAGGAATGGTTAGAATTCAGATCTGTATATAGCAATAGCACTTAGGCTTATATACCTCTCCATAGTGCTTTATAGTGCTCCCTGGATGGTTCACAATGTCAGCACGTTGCTCCCCAACAATCTGGGTCCTCTTTTTACTGATCTCAGAAGGATGGGAAGGCTGAGTCAACCTGTCAAGTCTGTCAGGATTGAACTCCTGGCTGTGAGCAGAATTAGCCTGCAATTGTAACCGTTGTGCCACCAGTATATATAATTGTGTATATGTACTATAATTATATATAAATATTATTTGTATAATACAAACCCAGTGTATTATAAAGGTATTTATGTACATGTTTAATGATGAGGTGGAAAACCGTTTATCAGTGGAAAATTTTTCATTTACCAAATGCATATACTGCTTAAAACGCTAAACATTAATAAAACATCCATTCAAACTGAAGTCCAGTAATATCAAACCAGCTGATCACTTACCAATATATTTTTAAAAGTAGTATTTCAACAGAAATCCTTTCATAAGATCTGCCTGTATAATTACTCAGTCATAACACTAACACTTATTTCCCAAAGATTGCAAAAGTGCAGCATTTCCATTGCCTCCGGAATATTAACAGGGAGGGAGCCATTGTAGCTTCTGCAGGCAGGGAATTTCAGAATTTAGGAGCCTTCACAAGGTTATTACACCGTATTCGTTAAAAGGCAGAACTTTCCCTCTCTTTATTCTTCCCTCCCATTATATAAAGCAGTGATGGTGAACCTTTTAGAGACTGAGTGCCCAAACTGCAACCAAAACCCACTTACAGTGGGGCAAAAAAGTATTTAGTCAGCCACCAATTGTGCAAGTTCTCCCACTTAAAAAGATGAGAGAGGCCTGTAATTGTCATCATAGGTAGACCTCAACTATGAGAGACAAAATGAGAAAACAAATCCAGACAATCACATTGTCTGATTTGGAAAGAATTTATTTGCAAATTATGGTGGAAAATAAGTATGTGGTCACCTACAAACAAGCAAGATTTCTGGCTCTCACAGACCTGTAACAACTTCTTTAAGAGGCTCCTCTGTCCTCCACTCATTACCTGTATTAATGGCACCTGTTTGAACCTGTTATCAGTATAAAAGGCACCTGTTTGAACCTGTTATCAGTATAAAAGGCACCTATCCGTAACCTCAAACAGTCACACTCCAAACTCCACTATGATGGTGAAGACCAAAGAGCTGTCGAAGGACACCAGAAACAAAATTGTAGACCTGCACCAGGTTGGGAAGACTGAATCTGCAATAGGCAAGCAGCTTGGTGTGAAGAAATCAACTATGGGAGCAATAATTAGAAAATGGAAGACATACCACTGATAATCTCCCTCAATCTGGGGCTCCACGCAAGATCTCACCCTGTGGGGTCAACATGATCACAAGAACGGTAAGCAAAAATCCCAGAATCTCACGGGGGGACCTCTCTCTGCAGACAGCTGGGACCAGCATAACAAAGGCAACCATCAGTAACACACTACGCCGCCAGGGACTCAGATCCTGCAATGCCAGACGTGTCCCCCTGCTTAAGCCAATACATGTCCGGGCCCGTCTGAAGTTTGCTAGAGAGCATTTGGATGATCCAGAAGAGGATGGGGAGAATGTCCTATGGTCAGATGAAACCAAAGTAGAACTGTTTGGTAGAAACACAACTCGTGTGTTTGGAGGAGAGAGAATGCTGAGTTGCATCCAAAGAAGAGCACACCTACTGTGAAGCATGGGGGTGGCAACATCATGCTTTGGGGCTGTTTCTCTGCAAAGGGACCAGGACGACTGATCCATGTACAGGAAAGAATGAATGGGGCCATGTATCGTGAGATTTTGAGTGCAAACCTCCTTCCATCAGCAAGGGCATTGAAGATGAAACATGGCTGAGTCTTTCAGCATGACAATGATCCCAAACACACTGCCCGGGCAACGAAGGAGTGGCTTCGTAAGAAGCATTTCAAGGTCCTGGAGTGGCCTAGCCAGTCTCCAGATCTCAACCCCATAGAAAACCTTTGGAGGGAGTTGAAAGTCCGTGTTGCCCAGTGACAGCCCCAAAACATCACTGCTCTGTCTAGAGGAGATCTGCATGGAGGAATGGGCCAACAGACCAGCAACAGTGTGTGCCAACCTTGTGAAGACTTACAGAAAACGTTTGACCTCTGTCATTGCCAACAAAGGATATATAACAAAGTATTGAGATGAACGTTTGATATTGGCCAAATACTTATTTTCCACCATAATTTGCAAACAAATTCTTTCTAAATCAGACAATGTGATTGTCTGGATTTGTTTTCTCATTTTGTCTCTCATAGTTGAGGTCTACCTATAATGACAATTACAGGCCTTTCTCATCTTTTTAAGTGGGAGAACTTGCACAATTGGTGGCTGACTAAATACTTTTTTGCCCCACGGTATGCATCGTCGAGTGCCAGATGGGTGTGGCCCATTTGCTGGGTATGACCCATTGGGTGGGCGTGGCCCATTGAGTGGGCGTGGCTGCGGTGGTAACGGCAGACTGGGTGGGATTAAAAAGTTCAATCAATCGATTCCAACTTTGCAAGACCTTTTTTTCCCCACAAGTTGAAATTGACTGATTGAACTTTTTCTTTTTCTTTTGCACACAGCGGCGGAGGCCTAAAGAGAAAAAGTTTTATAAAATCCAGCTGAAGGCCTAGGACTGGGGCGACGGCGCGTGTACCCACAGAGAGGGCTTTGAGTGCATAGGTTCGCCACCACTGATATAAAGTAACTGAGGTTAATAATCATAGTTTGCAGCAGGGGACTGAAACCTGGAGTTTTTGCAAACAAGATAATAGATGTGGAGATGTAGATCAAAGACAAAATATAATTAGAAGCAGGAAGTATTTGAAGGAGGTTGTAATGGGATTTCTTGCACAACCTTGCACTTAAAGCGATATATAAGTCTCATAAATAAATAAATAAACCTGAATCCTTGTTTTGGAAATTCAGACTGTTTGTTAAAGGTGGGCGCCCCTGGAGGAACCAAGTTTTGCCTAAATAATTGTTTGGCTGCTGGAGAAAGCCCAATGCAGAGTGAAGGAATGCAGAGAACCAGAAAGAGCCAACTACAACCTGGACTTTTCCCTTAAAAAATCCACACACATCCTCCTTTCCATTCCATACTCCAATCTATTCTCTCAGCACGGTCTAATTTCTCCACATAGCATCGTCACTTCCTAACAGTTCTGCTTCTCCACAGGGAATAGACTTATTACCTAACTTGCATCTCTGATATTAATCTTGGGATTCTGCCCATGAGTGACTGCTTCCCTCTCTACCCCCACATGTTAAAGAAGCTCTTGGCATCCATTGCCTCACTTTGCCTTTGATAAGATAACCTTTATTGTCATTTTTTTTTATTGTGGGCACAACGGCACACATCAAAAATGAAATTTAGTTGCCCGTTCTCAAAGTGAAACACATACATGACACACACCTAAACATACTATGAACATATGTATAGAAATTACAAAGGAAATTACAAAGGCTCTTGATTATCTACATTTATGCAGATTAAGAAGGTATCCATGTCATGTCTGTGCATTTATCTGCTTAAAAAAATAAGGAATGAGTCCAAAAATCCGGGTGGGAAGCACAGGATTGGATAAATTGGCAGGGTTAAAGACAACAGGCACTCCCCATCCTCTGAGTGTTTCAAGTAGTGCTTCAGTGTAATAGAACCACTTACTGCTCCTGCTCTAGTCTTGTGATCTAACTTCCCTGGTGACAAATTACAATAGAATAGAGCTGGAAGGGACCTTAAAGGTCTTCTAGTCGAGCCCCCTGCTCAAGCAGGAGAACCTATACCACAGGTCGGCAACCTGCAGCTCCGGAGCCGCATGCGGCTCTTTGAGCCTTCCCCTATGGCTCCCAGCCTCCTCGGCCATTTGAGGAGACAGAGACAGAGAGAGGCACTTGTTCTCTCTCTCCCTCTCTCTCCCTCCCTCTCTCTCTCTCTCTCTCTCTCTCTCTCTCGTGTGTGTGTGTGTGTGTATGTGTGTGTGTGTGTGTAAAAAAGAGTGGACTCACGGTAGTCTCCAACGAGCTGAAAAGCTTATTTGGGCAGAGCTCTTCTCTTTGCTGTGTCTCTGCAGGAAGCAGGAGCAGGAGAGAGCTAGCTAGCCCAGCTATGCTGACTCAGGAATTCTGGGAGTTGAAGTCCATGAGTCATAAAAAGAGCCAAGGCTGCCTACCCCTGAGCTTGTTGGAGAACAGCTTGAAGCCAGCTTGCCAGCTGAGCAGAAGATCGG